ACTAATATACATAATTTGACTCACCTAAAAACTGTAATATATTAAGTAGTACCTAGTATACCTACAAGTATGTTGGTTATTATTACTATTGTCTATTCAAGTAAGTATAAGATATCCATATTCGTTATAATAACAAATAGTTTATTTCATATAATACTCATATTTAAACATACTTATATAAGTTATATCAAATAGTATATAGTCATATCATTATACAATCTAATTGCCAGACTTAAAATAAAGAGGTAGGTACTTACATAAAGTTCTATTTTGTTTATTAATATAGTATTAACTATTATTTGTATCTGTAGCAGTATTATAATCAAACCAAATCTTACTGACCTAAAAACTGTAATAGCTGTATCAAGTACCTACTACATAGTATATTATATATTTATATTTAATCGAGCCCATGTCAAACGATTTAGGTGCGTTGCTCACAAATGTAGATAATAAAAGCAATACCTAGCTGTGGTTGTCAATTATCTAAATATTGTTATTTATCAATTATCTATTTATTAATTTGATTAAACCTACCTATTGTATACTCAAATTAATAATACCTAATATATAATTATTTTATATTATTGTTTCTGTGACATCCATCGTCGACTCGAGCTGGGATAATATTTTATAAAGTATATAATTTAACTAAACCAACCCAGCCACCGTGTATCAACTCTTGATAAATATACATTTATATATTATAATATGCATGTACCAGGTACCTACAGACCGACTCTGTGGGTAGATCGTGTAAGCAGTAAAATATAACATAATAACGCAGTTTCTTGAATCAAAAAATCGAACTTTTCGTCGCATATTTTCATTTCCGTTTATAGTAATAACAACACTGTCCGCTGCGAGATCTCCTCCGCGGAACTCGACTCGAGCGAAGTACTGACGCGGGCGGCTTATAAATTTAGCGGGGAACGCCAATAACATCCAAACAGGAAGGGTAATACCACTAAAACGGGCCAAGAAACGAATTTTAGAAAAAAAACGGCAAAAAACGACGCGACGCATGTATTTATTGTTGTATATAGCGATACTTACACGGTACCTACTCGTACAGACTCGTCTGTGAAAAAGTAGGGCCACGCACCGGCTATAAATTTAGCGGGGAACGCGAATAAGATTCAAACGGGGAGGGTAATACGACCAAAAGGAGCTAAAACTCGAATTTTTGAAAAAAAAACAAAAAAAAAAAAGAGAAATCAAACTCTTTGTCGCATATTATATTCACGCCCATGTATAGTAATAAAGACACTGTCCGCTTGCTAAATCATTTGACAGGGAACGCGAATTAGTCTTCAACGGGGAGGTCCGAAGTCAGTAGAGGCGTTAAGACTCGAATTTTGAAAAAAATCGGAACATTTACGTTAAAAATGATAAGACGGAAGTGATAGCGAAACGACGAAAAAAAAAATTCAATTTATCATGGCCGTCGCAAATATTATCGATTTTCGGGCGGCGGGTTCGAAACCACGACCCTCGAGTCACCTGTCCTAGCGCCTAACCAACCTAGCCACCTACTGAGATGAAAATCAGAGTCAAATCTATGACTCTTAAGCCGCGTTGCCGTCCCCGCGAAAGGCGAACGCCGTTTGGTCGTCAGTCAAAGGGCGTCGTTGCGGGCCATCCGACCGCGTCGGGAAGCGGACTACCGGCTCCGCGGCCCTAGGATGTATAAAACGCGAGAATTGCAAAAAAAAATCGAACCTCGAGAAACATGTATTTATGCATGTATACCTAACCTAACCTATAGCGATACGTAATCGGTACCTACTCTCTTTTCCGCGACGCCGCTCCAACCCGGGACTCGTTTTTGAAGAAGTAGGGCCGCGCGCCGGTTATAAATTTAGCGGGGAACGCGAATAAGTCGTCGACGGGGAGGGTGATACGACCGAAAGGGGTTAAAACTCGAATTTTCGAAAAAAACGGCAAAAAGAGCAGTCATAATATAGTCGTACTACTTAACTGACAGAGTTTAATCAGTTCTTTTAGATCTATTAGTTTATTAATATCGTATTAAACAATATTTAACCAAATCGGAATCACTTAAAAACCGTAATATATCAAGTAGGTACTACAATATATGTCATATAGGTTAATTATATTATATTGTATTTATAAAAGAAACTTATTTACATATAGGTGCGTTTTTCACGGTAAAATCAAGTATTAATTAAATGCTAATTATAAAATAAATATAGTTAAGCGAATTATAATATATACAAATACCGATATGTTTAATATAATAACGCGAATTTTGAAAAAAAATGTGACGAAAAAAAAAACGCGAAAAAAAAATTACATTTATCATGGCCGCCGCAAATTATCGATTTTCGGGCGGCGGGTTCGAAACCACGACCCTCGAGTCACCTATCCTAACGCCTAACCAACCTAGCCATCTACTCAGATGAAATTCTTAGTCAAATGTATGACTCTTAAGCCGCGTCGCCGTGTTCGCGAAAAGCGAACGCCGTCTGGACGGCCGGCAAAGGGCGTTTGAGCGGGCGATCCGACCGCGTCGGGGAGCAGACGACCGGCTCCGCCGCCCTCGGACGTATAATACCCGAGCTTTGAGAAAAAAATCGAACTTCGAGACTCACTTATTTATGCCTGTATATAGCGGTACCAACTCGATACCCAATCGGTACCTACTCTCGTTTAAGCGACGCCGGTCCTCCCCGGGACTCGTTTTTGAAAAAGTAGGACAGCGCGCCGGCTATAAATTTAGCGGGGAACTCGAATAAGATCCAAACGGGGAGGTCGATACGTCCCAAAACGCCTAAAACTCGAATTTTCGAAAAAAAACGGCAAAAAACGCGGGCGACGGCGGCGCTCGGTTCGCACGTGATATCCGCCGCGGAGGGCCCGCAGAGAAAAAAGTACGGCGGACTTATAATAGTAAATTTAGCGAGGAATGCGAATAAGGTCCGAACGGGGCCGCCCGAGGCCCCGAGGGGAGTAAAAGTCGAACATTTTGAAAAAAAATCGTGAAAAGTGATAAGGAGGAGTGATAACGCAGCGGCGGCTACGCAAAAAACGACGCGACGCATGTATTTATGCCTGTATATAGCGATACACACACGGTACCTACTCACGTTTAACCTCCCCTGGACTCGTTTTTGAAAAAGTAAGGCCGCGCGCCGGCTATAAATTTAGAGGGGAACTCGAATACGTCGCCGACGGGGAGGTCGGGAGACTCGTAGAGGTGCCAAACGCGACTCTAGTCGAAAAAGTCGAGAAAATCGTCGAAACGGCGAAGACGCGGCGCTCTCGGCAATCGATTCGTCCGCCGGAATACTCGTTTTTGAAAAAATAGGGCCGCGCGCCGACTATAAATTTAGGGTGGAACGCGAATAAGATCCAGACGGGGAGGTCGATACGCCCTAAAACGCCTAAAACTCGAATTTTCGAAAAAAACGGCAAAAAACGCGCGTCGACGGCGGCGCTCGGTTCGCACGCCATATCGGCCGCGGCGGGCCCGCCGGGAAAAGAGTACGGCGTACTCGTAATAGTAAATCTAGCGGGGAACGCGAATAAGGTCCGAACGGGACCGCCCGAGGCCCCCGGGCGGGGTAAAACTCGAAAAATTTGAAAAAAAATCGTGAATTTCGAGAAAAATCGTGAAAAGTGATAAGGAGGAGTGATAACCGCCCTCCGGGGAAATTGAATTTTCTCATTGGCTCTCTCTTACGATGGTTCGGATTTAACGCATAGGCGGCGCCCTCGGGTTCACGCTTTATATAGTATAGATAGATAGATAGACTAGCTCTCCGAGCGTCGCTGGGGAATTTTTTTTTACCAATTGTTAGTACGTTATTTGTTTGAATTTGTTTGACACGAACCAGAAACGTTTCCCCAGCCCCCCACATAAGAAATAATGGACTTCCATCGAATTTTTTTTTACCAATTATTAGTATGTTATTCGTTTGAATTTGTTTGACCAAATTCACTATTCAGAATTTGTTTGATGTCAGCATGCCCCGGAAAATCAATTTTTAAAAACAGTATTTATATAATATCGATATATCTATATAATATTGTTGAAACCTGATAAAAATTAACACAATTTTTATTTTTATAATATACATACTAATTTGTGTTTATTTAATGTTATATGTATATATATATATTATTCTCGTTATTGATATTATAATATGTTTAATATTAAATTTACCACGGTTTTAGAACATTTTAAAGTGAATTTCGTGAATCATCTTATAATATAGTTCCTATTTTGAATATAATAAAAATATTTTGCATTGTTTATAATTACATTGACACAAAAAAAATTACTTAACATTATATGTAATAAATACGTGTTTTAGGAAAAGCATCCAATAGGTGTTCAGTTTTTGTGTACAAATACCTATACTATATCTATGGGTTAGTGAATGATGTGAACAAGACATAGAAGTATACTACTGAGTGTACTAACTTCCCTAATATCTTGTATACTTGAAACATTAAATATTTATAATATATAACAACTATAAAAAGAAATTTGACTTTTAATCATCCATTACCTTGTATGATCAATTACTCATATTTTTACTAACGCCAAAATTACTTAGTGACCATAACAGTTTTGTAATTGCATGTCTAAGTATATTATTATTTAAATAAAGTTGAATGTGTTAATATACCTATTGACTATTGCAGTGTATACTATCACCAGATTTTATTTTCAGAAATAATGAGTTTTACAACATATCATATTTTAACTGGCAACTATAAATAAAAATGCAAATAAATCTATTAAATTGTTTCTTGATATTATGATATACATTATATAGGTATAAGGTATTATTGCATAATATTATAATAAAGTTGTATAAGATACAATGGTTTGTTACATAAAAATTAAATCATAATTAATGTTATTAAAAAAAAATAAAAAGGAAAAAAAAAATAAAAAATAAAAAAAAATACAAATAGCTTATAATAATCTGTTTAATTTTTTTTAAATATGTAATTTTATTTATTATTTAAATAGTATAAAAAAGGAATTCACATGGTACTTTTGTGTTACCTTTTATGTATTTAACATATTTTTGGACATCATCATACATTTCCCATTTGTTATGTCCTCTCTTACAACATGCATAATAATGTCCAATGGAAGTCCTGAGACGACTTAGTCCACGACGGAAACAGCCCAAACCTCTTAACTCATAGGTTTTTCCCGATGCTATGAGTATCTGTGGTATATTTTCAAGTATAATAGATGGTTGTGGAAGTACTTCGCTACTATAATTTAGACTAGTATTTTCTACAATAATAAAACAATTTAATTTATAGTTTGTAATTAATTTACCTAGATTAATACATACCTTCCCAGTTTAATAGCTCCACAAATATATGAAAAGCCGACATCACAGTGGTTTTTGTTTTTACTCCTTGGCATGCTTCGCCTTCATTATTAATATAACCACAATTTGTTTTTTCCAATTTTATCCTGGAATCTATACAATTCTGTAAATCGGCTATGTTTCTATCATTTATGGTAAATGAAAAAATCATAATTGGAACTGGAGCTTCAGTCGTTCTTCCACATGTTGAAATATTACAATTTATAGAGTCATGAGCTGTTGGATACTCTTTCAATGTTGTATTAAATAAATTACTTGCTGTTGTTTCACATTTGGCTAAAGTTGTGTTATATTCTAAAAATTCCAATTCTGGGTTCATAATGTTTATCTGTTTTATAAAACAAATTATTATAATTTATTTAATTTATATTTATTAGTTGATTAAGTACAAAATAGCGAAAGTCTTAACAGTAAAGTAAAAATACCGAAATCCAAATCAAATATCATTACCAGTGGTTAAATAAAACTGTCATACATTGGTATAACCTAATTAACCTATGTGTATACCTATACCTACAACTAATAATAAGATAAACAATTTGTGTAACAACTAATTGATATTGTAGATTAATAGTGTAGTTGTTATCCAGTATTCTTACTGTTCACAATCTGTACAGTATGACATAACGTTATTATCTTATGTAATATTTAATTTTTTTTTAACTTTTTACATTTTTATGGTATTCATAAAACGCTATAAAAATAAAAATTGTACGATTACTATTTATGAATACCTTATTTATCGCGAAGATAGTAGTCGTGAATGAAGTAAATGTTGGTAGTGTTTAGGAAATAATTGTTTAGCTAGAATAATTACACAGAATAAAATTATTTCAATATCCCCCAATAATGAAAGAAAACGATAACAATATTTTGCTGGTGACCATCCACAAAACAAATATATAAAGATTTTGCAAAAAAAAAAAAAAAAATATTACTTATGATTAAAATTCGTATGGTAATTTTAATTAAATAATTAATTAAATTAATTGAATGCTTATTGAAATATCGATTTTTGTTTTAATAGATCAAATATTATAATTAATATTTTTGACTTCAGTGATAATATTATAAACATGGAGGGTAACTCTTTCAGTATTAGGTATATGTGATACTTTTAACATGTATTATCTAATTGTATAGTCAAATTTAGTATAGTACTAAGTACTGAGTAGTATTAGTTAGTTAATTGGTGTAAACTTGATAATTATATAGTATATAATATATATATACATTATAGGTACAGTATAAAATGATTATAACTAAAATATTTAAATGTTAAATAAGTAATCTAATTACATTAAATCAATTTTTTTTTTTTTTGCTTCACTATCATTACTTTCGTTATTTTGTAGTTATAGATTTTAAACCATACCATTAATTCAGCTCTGTTAGTATATGTTTTTGAACTGATACCATTATTAACCAACTCTGCGATAAATTTATAAAAAATATTATCACAGTCATTAACCATACAACAATATTGAATACTATCACAGATAGCTACCATCAAAATAGAAGAAATTGTATCGAATGCGCAAGTGTTACTTAAAATAACTTTTCCAATATTTTTAATTGTACAACTCTTCAATTCCTGTGCTCGTGATCCGTTTTTCAACAAAGGTAAAGTTTGAATGTTTTTTGAATTGTTTATTTGAAGATGTCGTAAATTTGGATTTGGGCAAAGATAAGAATTTAAATTTCTTTGCCTTTTTGGTTTTCTATTCCAGCCTTCAACTGATTTGTTTTCTTCTGATAAATAAGCTGCATTTATTTCTTCATCAGTCTTAGAGCATTTTAAACAATATCGAATTTCCTCGTTTCCTTGTTTGTGTGTTGAGCAAGAGAGAAGTGCGTGGACTGGTACATGACATTTATTACATTTGTGTGATCCGTTTTCGATGGAAAATCTCCAGAGTTGCATCATGGGCAACCGCTACTAGAATTATTTTGATGAGTTGAATTTGACGATACAACTAAATATGTATCTATTGGTTCATCCATATTATCGTGATGAATTGGTGATAGAATAAAATCAATAGAATCATCTAAATTAACCGGTAGAGCATTATTCTGATTATTTGATTTTGATGTATGTGTGTAACGGCTTGTCCGCAATAATGATGTACCTTTAAGTGAAGCTGAATGATGTTCAATGAAATTTTCAATATTTGTCGGTAGATCAATATTTTTAAATGTTACATTCTTTATTTTTTTGAAAGTCGATTCTACTGCAGCCGAACTTGCAGTTTCATCTCCATATCCGAATATTTGAATCATTAATCCCGACCACAATGGCAATAATTTCATGCATTTGCGAATTTTAGGTACTAAAGTCGGCAAGTACAATGCATTTAATCCCGTTCCTTCTTGTATGGATGATTTACTTTAGATTCTGAGTGGAACGATGAATGTATTGATTTTACAATGATGTGTGTTTTTTTATTTTTTTTTTTATTTTTTTATTTTTATTTGTGTCTGTCATCACGTTTTAGGACAGTAAAAATGCTTGGATTTTCTTCAACAGTAGCTTTTCTGATAGGAAAGTGAATCTAGTTGGTACTTTGGGGGGTCAAAAGTGAAAATTTCCCAGTAGTTTTCAAAAGCGCCGTGAAAAACAAAAGAAAAATTAAGGAAAAACGGGAATTTTTACGCAAAATCTGTTTTCGAGAAAATTGATTTTGGTTTTTGGTGTAACTTTAAAACAAATGACCGTAGATAAGTGAAATTTTTACTGGTTGTTTATACTTGCATTTTCTATACACGATAACATTTTCAAAATATTTTGATTTATTTTGAACTGTTTAGGGACATTTTCATTTTCCAAATGTTTTTAGTTTTTTTTCTAAAAATATCAATAAAATTTTATTTGTTGGTTGCGAAAGCTTGAAAATTTAATAGAAGGCTCCTAGTATATTGTTTCAAAGGCAGATGAAAAATATTAAAAATCCTTAGTCACAATTTTTTTTATAAGCATTTAAAGTTCAAAAATTGACAAAATATGGAATAATCACGAAAATTAGCAAATTATTTTGAGTTAAGAATTCGTAAAAATGTTTCTTTTTAAATCTAAGATTTGAACATTTAATATAAGATTCTTTATAAGTTTATCTACCTTTATCAAAACAAAAATGTCTATAAGAAAGTCAAATTAAATTTTTATGAGCGTTTGAAATTCAAATTTTAACAACATTAGATATTCACTCGATTTCTCATGTAGCGATTTCCTTATTTTGTTGTAATTCAAAAACGAATGACTGTAGATATATGAAAATTTCACTGAATGTTCAGATTAGCATTTCCTATACACTGTACAATTTTAAAAATATTTTGACTCTTTTTGAGCTGTTTACGGACATTTTCATTTTTCAATTATTTTAGTTTTTTTTTCTATAAATATCAATAAAGTTTTATCGGTTGGGCCAAAAAGTGTAAAAATTTAATACAAGGCTCCTGATATATTTTTACAATATTAGTTGAAAAATATTAAAAATACATAAGCACAATTTTTTTTTATAAGCATTTAAAGATCGAATTTTGACAAAATTTATCAAAATCTCGAAATTATCAATCGCTGCAAATAAAAAATTATAAAATGTCCAGTTTTTATAACTAATAATTGAAAATTTAAAACTTAGATTCTCATAAATAGTTCATACTGTAACCAAAAAATCTAAAAAATACATAAGCACAGTTATTTTTTACAGACATTTTAAATTCAAATTTGGACGAAATGACATATTAAAATCAGTGTTAACGATTTTGGTTATTTGTTGTAATTTAAAAATATTATTCGTCGATATAATATGAAACTGAAGAATTAAGACATGGCCTATCCATACAATCTATAGTTTAATATTATTGTCACATTATTGTTCTATGATATTAAGATTACCCCAGAACAGAGATAGAGATAGAGATGCCCTATCAGAATAAGTATTATGAATTATGTGAAGCAAAACATGTCGGATTTGGTTTCCAATAACTAACAACGCAACTGATAGACAGCGCTAGTTTTCAACTTTTCGTAAATCCCACCAATGTAATATTTTGAATATGTTATAATACTTTCTACTCAGAAACTATTTTAAGAACAAACCTAAGATGCTGGTGTGTTACAATAATTTAAGTATTGATAGTACTGATAATTTCCTCACCAAAAAGTTACTACCCTCCCATAACATATTATAATAGTATTTACGTATTTGTGCAAATCAAGTTCAGTTCAGTAATATTTTAATAATTAATATTATATTGATAGTTATAAATAAAGGTTAATATAACCATAGAACAATATGATATAATTGAGTAATAATAATGAATAATATAATTAAATTACAATAAATATTGTATTATAGTTCATATACAATAAAATATTTTCTATAGTTTGCCTACACTGTTTTGTTTCCATTTCCGCTTCATATTATTTCAATTAATGCTCCTCTATATACTCTATGCCCCAGAATATTCTGTGTTATCACTTTCTGTCGTCGATTGATAAGCTTTTGTCCGAAAAATGAAAAGAGTGGTTATTATTTTGTGGTTATACGGCAGTGACCAACTACTTGTGTTGGAGTTGTTGCATAGGAAAAAATTTGGTGCAAACATTTTGGTGATTGAAAGTGATAAGATGTGACGGGGACGCTGTGTATCATTTATAATATGTTATTTTACTAGTTCCCCGTTACAGGCGCCGGCCAAAGAGTTCTGGTTTACCTGTGATATGAAGTACGACCCGTTGAAAAACATGGAAACGAGTCCGCGTATCTCGTACCACGTACGTCTGTAATAGTTTTATAAGTTTGTTTACTCGAGTTACGTAAACGTTTAACGTTTTAAGTATAGTTTGTTATTATTTATTTTATAGTTATTACCTATAGTCTTATTAGGCCGAATATAGGCCGAATTCTGCCGGTAATAAAATCTGTTATCAGTCGGTTAGCGTTAACCGACACTTTACCGGACATTGTAAGAACGGCCCTTATATGTACCTACTTTTTTTCATTCTTTACAATATATTGTTTTTAACCAATAATTACACGTCGTGGCAGGTTTTGAATTTTATATTATTAAAATGGTTCGCTCTAATAACCAAGCGATTTGTTTCATTTATCAACAGCATTCTATCATTAAAAACAGCATTGAATCGAGATATTTAATTCCCAAAATACTTCTGTTGCAACGTCGTGGCCGTGAGTGTGTTTACATTATGCAACTCTAGCAGCAACCCAACCGGCACCGCTCGCCGGTTAACCTGCTGCTCGCACTGCTCAATTTACTGCTCTTGACGGGAGCGACAATGCGAGGAGCATGATCAGC